TGGTTTGTTTGCTTGTTTATTTATTTAACCAGGAATTACATGTCGCCTATTGGCGGTTTTCAAAGATTCCTGGGGGGATAACCCCAACAAAACTACATGACATTAGAATTACAACAAAAGATTAAAGATGAACTAACAAAGGTCAACTAAAAATAGATAAACTTATCGTGAACAAGATGAAATCGTAACTAACTCATCAACAATGGTTGTGCTGCTATACAAATAAACAATATACTCACAATCCCTCAAACCCTTAGCCGGAAGACAGGGAACAACAGACGATCGTGATAAACTGGACAGTGAGTGAGTGCTTGAGTGATTACTAGTTGTGTGTTATGTTTTAGGGTTTTCAATAAATCAGAAATAAAAAGGTAAGTCAAAAGGCAAGTTGTCTCACCTGTTCAAACTCTTCACTTTGTCTTCAAGTCATCTGGTCTGATGTGGGCAGAAGTTGTCCATCATCACAGGTTTCTCCCAGTCAGGACAGGAACGTCAGGACACACATAACTAATAAAATGAATAATTAGTGCAATGCCCCAAAATTAAACTATCCCTTTGGTTCATTGGATAGACGTACACAATGTTAAAAGTACATTTGTAGTATGTATAATATTGCGTCTTATTTCTTAACACATAGAAAAAATAAAGTTGTATGAGCATTGTCTCACCTGTACAAACTTTTCCCTTCACTGTGTTCAACTTTAAGTCAGCTGAGCCCTCATCTCTGTCTCTAAATTACCTCATCTGGTCCACTTTTCTCTTGTCAGGTTCAGACAGGAGTCCCCACTACTGCATCAGTCAGCAGCCACCTAACTATACAGATGTTAGATGTTACACACTTGTGTCAAATAACACCAAATAGCTGTAGGTAAAATGCAGAATTCATATTTTTCTCACCTGATATTCCTCTTGGGTCTTCAAATCATTGATCTTGTCCAATCTGTCTTGTCAGGTTCAGACAGGAGTCCTCACTTCTGCATCAGTCAGCAGCCACCTAACTATACAGACATTACAAGTTGTCACACATTCTCAAATAACACTAAATAGCTGCAGGTAAAATGCAGAATTCAGATTTTTCTCACCTGATATTCCTCTTGGGTCTTCAAATCATTGGTCTTGTCCAATCTGTCTTGTCAGGTTCAGACAGTAGTCCTTACTACTGCACCAGTCAGCAGCCACCTATAAACTATACAGACATTAGATGTTACACACTTGTCTCAAATAACTTTAGTAAACAGTAGATTGCAGAATTCAGATTTTTCTCACCTGATAGTCATCTGAGGTCTTCTGGTCCAATCTTCTCTTGTTGGGTTCAGACAGGAGTCCTCACTACTGCATCAGTCAGCAGCCACCTAACTATACAGACATTACAAGCCGTTACACTTTCTCAAATAATACCAAATAGCTGCAGGTAAAATGCAGAATTCTTATTTTTCTCACCTGATATTCCTCATGGGTCTTCAAATCATCTTGTCTGGTCCAATCTGTCTTGTCAGGTTCAGACAGGAGTCCCCACTACTGCATTAGTCAGCAGCCAGCTAACTATACAGACATTACAAGTTACACACTTGTCTGAAATAACACCATGGCCAAATAGCTGCAGGTAAAATGCAGAATTCAGATTTTGCTCACCTGATATTTCTCTTGGGTCTTCAAATAATCTTGTCTGCTGGTCCAATCTGTCTCGTCAGATTCAGACAGTAGTCCTCACTACTGCATCAGTCAGCAGCCACCTAACTATACAGACATTACAAGTTACACACTTGTCTCAAATTAAAAACTAGCAATGCACACATGTACACACACACACCTTAAATATATTAATTTTAACATACCTCATACCTCACACATACCTCAACGAAAACTCTACATAATGACCATAAAAATGGAGATAGAAACAACATTAAAATAAATCAACCCCCTTCAACTGAAACTTTATGTGGAATACGAAAAAACTCAAAAGCGCAAAATGTTTTGAAAACAGTAATTGCTTCCTTTAAGCATAGTTAACTGTAGTGTTTGCGCCAGAAATACTTGGCCTTGGTCACTACTATTTACTGAATTACTCTGATAAGGAAACGAACAAGCTTTTAAATTACACATCATACGTTGCAAATGATAATGAAGAACGAAAGCATGATCAACTCGACATAACTAGTTTTCAAACGTTTTGTATCGTATTCATTTCGGCCTGAAGCTTTGAGGGCCCCATTTTGTTTACGCCAAATTTTTGGCGGGAAAATAACTAATTATGTACACCGGCACATTCCAACAGCTGTTTGGAACCACGTGGAGATAAAGAAAAAAAGGGTTTGGTCAATGCAGAATTTCCTTCGACAAATATAACCTTGAAACGCTGAACAATAGACTAAAAAGACATGCACATACATTTAAGCGCGTACCACACATTAAATATGTTGTTGAAAACGCGGCAACTTGATAAACTTTTTCTAAACCTGTCTAAAAATTGTTAAAATGAGAACGGTCACTCCCTAATTCAAAAATTGGTCATTTCTTACGGAATATAACTTGACAGGTCATACTATAGTTGCTAAGGAATAATGTCAGCCAAACAATTTGCTGGTTTACCTGCAACCAGCGAAGTTGTCTCCATGCCACATACTTCCCAACTGTCTCGCCATGTTGTCTTCTCCAAAATTCGCCAGGTCAGGAAATCCTCATTTTCTCTTCAAAACATCACCAGAACAACACAAATCCACAGCACAAACTCCCAGATATTCTGCTGCACGCTTACCAAGACATTCTACCGACGAAAACGTCTAAAAGTACCTAGAAATTTGTAAAAAAAAATCAGCCCAGAGTATTCCCGTCGTACGAAATCGCCATTTTGAAGGGACCGTACCAAACTTGTTTTTACACAGGTGTGCAGAACGTCCGTGCATAATTAATGTGAAGTTGATAATCTAATTATGACGACCAATGACGGCCCATTTCGGTGCCAGGCACTTATATGCGTCGAAGAAGGACGATTAGATTATCTAACGTTGATGTCAATCTCGGTAAAAAAAATGGGTAAAAATGCAGCTACAGGGCACCTTTAAATTAGTATTTCTATCATCACAAATAAACGTTTTCAAGAATAAGCTGTTATGTGGCCACAGTATGAAATATAATACTCTTGACCAATTTTCCTATTAACTGTAAATTCATTTATTTTCGCGGGGACTTTATTCCGTTCCACACACACACGCAAACCTGTCCGTGGTGCTGAACACCTTCCACACACAGGAAACTCAATTTAGTGTTTAGCTCTAAGGTAGCAAAACGTATCCCTCCAATTTCCTCAACAATCAAAGCAGTTACTGTCTTTTAGGCCGTGTTGATTTGATTATATGGAGGACATCTTCTTGGAACCCCAAAACTGATGCGAGCGTGCGAATAAAAAAGAACTTTTGCAAAAAAAAGTTGCTTTTATCATGATATCTACGTAGTCGTGAAGCTTGATCAAATGACACTGAGTGTGGTATGGCGAATAACCTACTCTTCAAAGTCGGCGGAGATCAAGTTATCGTGTTCACAAACAGACAGACACACGAACGCCCCTGAAAACATAATCTTATTGGCGAAGGTAATAAAAGTTCAATATGTTGCACTTAGCCAACCAACCTCTAGGGGCGCTGTTGAGTGGTCCAATGAATGCACCTCGCAGTTGTTAGTTAATTCGGCATTTGGAGACCAAACCTAGTTTCCAAGTATGCCGGTGGGTTTGGATCAATAGAGACTTCTAACAACTGACTGAAGTATGCTACCAGTTACTGAGAACTGTTTTTTTTAACCGTGGGTGGTATAATCAAGGACGTTGGTATAACCCGATGCTATTTATGTAGTTTATGCGGTGGAGTTTAATAAATGTACCATGAAACAGACACAAAGACAGGCAAAACACATCATGACATCCCCTACATAATATAAGCTATAACGTTACATATCATACAGAAGGAGAGTATTGCACTTAGCCAACCAACCTCTAGGGGCGCTGTTGAGTGGTCCAATGAATGCACCTCGCAGTTGTTAGTTGATCTTCGGCATTTGGAGACCAAACCTATCATCATTGAAATTGTCTTTTGTTACACGTCGGTGTCAACAGCGCTCTATCCCATACAATTTTGCCTGACGTCTATTAAAGTTTGCCCGACCTACCGACCGGGCCGTTGACCTTCCATGCAGCATGCCAAGGTCGCGATCGCTGCTAGAACTGTTTAGAAACACGTCATAGGACCATGTACCACGTCACCGTTACGACACAAGCCTCAGCTCAGGTATAGAAAAGTCACGCGCCTGGACGGAAACTTCGGTGTTAAATTGTTTTATTGTCGTAGACTTATAAATCTCCGGATCCGGAGGTTATTGAATCAAGTTAATAATATCTGAACTAGATGGCTTGTAGTGATACTAGTAGTTGAAGGCATTCCGAGAGCGCTATGGTATTATGAGTCCCGGGATCCTTTGCAGGATTTCTGTGTCCGTAGAGTTTGAAAATAAGCTGTAGTTATTAGAAAAGCGGCAGGGAGGTACTACCGTAGCTTCGTTGTGTAACGGCATATCTCGTCACCAAGACGTCTACTACTACTATACGTATGCAAAGCATCGACAAGCCACGGGGTCTTTTCAACAGATTTAGGACATCATCAAGCAAACACTGCTAAGGGAAATTATTGTCTCCTCGTCATGGCAGATAGAGCAACATAGACTATGACATTCCTACATAACGCCTAAATGTTGCAGGAAGCTGACTATTGTAGAATTAAGCATATAATGCCAAAATATGTCAAAGTTAAAATCATTGTCCTGAATTTATAAACTGTTGTACTCGCTTCGTTCGTGCTCAAATTACAGAAGAATTCCGGTCCAGGGCGATTGGGTGGTGATTGTTTTGAGTTATAGCCCCGCTCCCTGCCTCCCTCCTCATGCAAACACTCGTGCTTCATTTTTAATTAAAGACCTGTTACACGATGTTTTTTCCACATCCTTCATTGTGCACGGCAAACACAAATTGACAGCAGTTTAAAGCAAACGCCTGTCACATGTTGTATATTTGGACTCCGCGGCCTCTCGGACAGCCTTATAAAGAACCCTGACAAACGTGCGTGCAAATCGGCGAGGAAGTACAAATTACAGCTGTCAGCTCCACAACAGGTCTCTCCAGTCCCGAGGGAGCAAACACCTTTCAGAGCTGGGCTGGTTTGTACAGACTGTGTCAGGTGGGTAGCAAGAGGATACAACTCGCTATAGAAACGCCGTCAGGAGAGGACTATTCTGTGAGCGCTTTGCTGATCCCCGTAAGCTGGATGCAGGAAGGGCATCGACCGGGACCCAAAAAGGCTGCAGGCATGGTGAAGTCAGACGGCCTCCAGGCGGAGCTACCCGCGCCCGTCCGGTTCTCACCCGTACCCGAGCCTCCTAAACACCTGGGGAACAGTCTTAAACGTGTCCTACTGGTCTCTAACATCAATGAAGAGAAGAGGTTGCAGCGGCGTCTGAAGGACCTGGATATAAAACAGAACCGCGAGACGGAACGACTCAGAGATCAGCAGGAAAGATTCGTCAAGTCGCTTCGCGAAGAGATGCAGCAAGAACAGGCCCAGATGAAGAGAAGGTCGTCTATCCCACACATACACGTCACAAACCACCTCGAACTCCCAGTGGTCTGCGATCCTAGGAAAGTCGCTCTAGAGCAGAAGAAATTGAATGGAGATTCGCGCAGACGGGCGTCGGTAGCGGTGCCGAGTTTACCGCATATTTCCGCGGAGTTGCGCAACAGTCACCACAGACACAGGAGGCCGTCTCTGCCGGAATCAACTATCGAAGACGTGCCCAAGTTGCCGGCGATCGGGGAAGACTCCTTCAAGGCCGTACAAGACAGTAGATTTCAGAGTCTTGAACAAGCGCTGGTGAGAAACTCTGAAGGTAAAACTTTGAAAAGTAACCATGGGGATGAAAAATCAACAACAACATCAACACCGGACGATGATGCTGAAGGAGACCATGTAGAGTGACGTTCAAGTTCAACAGATGTAACAGCAAAACGTACTCAAGAAATAAACAGACATAGCAGCGCTATTCGCCGATGCTCTGAACAAGAGACATTATACGCTGGTCTCCAAAAAAGAGGCAAAGACTACAGCTAGCAGTGAGTAACATCAATGTTATCAAGAGTGGTCAACACTGAAGTGTATCGCAAAACATGCTAGACTTCCAATCTCAGTGCAAGAATTGCAACTTGAAAAAGTCTATCTTATACTAGTAGATGTTCGGTGAAGGTGACGCTTATCAGTTATATATTCCCACACGTAGATGATTTTGTTGCTGATGAAATGGCCATATATAAGAAATGGTTGTTGTTTATGTTGATTATCACGAAACAATAACGGTGTGCGTGGCATTTCTGTGTTGCTTATGAAATTGAAATGCATGAAATATCATTCACGTCTGAACCTTGCCAATATATATATAAGTATTATTCTTAATACAATTCGCCTATTCAAATTAGTTCCAAAATCAAGGTACTCCTTGAAAACGTTTGCATGGAACACATTTTTATCAAGTCACAGATAATCTTATTTCCTTTCGGAGATCCATAGATTCAGGTAAGGTTTTCTAAAACACTGTGACAGCACAGATTTGCTCATCTTTCTTCTCTTGTTGCTCCCGATATTGTATACTGCCATTACCAAACAGAATGTATCTCACGTGCTATATCCTATCAAAATCTACTCGTATAGCCATAGATGAATAGGGTGTTGCCATGGCTAGGAATATTCTTATATTTAGACGCAAAAGACTATGGTTATAATCGAATCTCTAAACAATAGTAGCTAACGTCTTCATGATAGATGGATATCGATTATGTCGACGAATGAAGGAGGGTTCCACGCCAACGTATCTTATTCGAGGTCATTTGGATTTCATTGGAATAAAGCTGTTCTTATGTAAATGACACCAAATTATCGATATTTTGTCAACATGCATAACTGTGAGGAGCTTGTGACAAGTTAATAGAGGTGAATATATATCGATACATTCTTGTATATCTTATTTATCATTATTACACTGATGAGAGAGGCAAGTTGATACATACACCTGAAGCAGTCATTCAGTTAACAGTTCACAAACCAACCTATCAATGGACTAAATGCTCAGTATTTGTCGACCTCCATTTACAGTTCTAACGAAATATTGTGTACAGACTTCACAGCTATGGCCTTTTGTTCTGGACGCAAAGTTATACTAGTACTGTACATGGGAACTGCGGAGGGGCTGTGATATCCTAGCAATTAGCCAGGCTCAAAGATATATATGGCCTCCTTGTTTACAACCCTACAGGTCTATTTGTGGATTCGCGCTGTGGGGTCGACACGTACCTCTTGGATCACCAAAATACCTCCCTGTGGTATTCTGTAATAAAGAACAGGTGTTGAGTACTAATATATAAACGAAAAGCCCAGAGCAAAAAATGGTTCTACTTTACTGGTAAGACTTTACATAAGGACAGGGACAATGGAGAATCGTGCTGAATTGGGTCTCCTTGAAAATTTATGGTCAACTTCCCAAATTCAAAGGATATTGGCTGTCATTGGCGTGGTGACGAAGGTATAATAAAACTGCATTTCCACTTATGTATTCGACGGTTACGGCACCTATATACCCCAATAATATTAAATCAATATCAATTTAACGTTAACGTTATAAGTTATGTATTCAACGTTATGAGATAACGTTAACGTGTTACTGTGTAATTCAACGGCTTTGGTAAATAAGCTCTTTTTTTACTCTGTGCGAATTAAAGTATCATAAATCTTCACATTGTATCCTTTCTTTGTTTGATTTTGTACAGTGTGTCTTCATGATCACGCCGACACACTTGTCTACTCCAGAAGGTAACAGGTGTAAACACCTGTTGATGTCGTAAAACCGCAGGCCCGTTTTGCGACGGTTCGCCGTCACGGGGCAAACCTCTACAAGAATGTAGTCTTCCGCTTGCCATAAATTTGTACAATTTGACGAATAAGTCGCTTTATTTGATGCTAAATTATCTTTTTGAAATGATTTTTGTGATGAAAGTTCGCATCAAAGGTAATACCAAACAAAATGGAGATGATTTAGGCTCTATGAGTTAGGCTCTATGTTGTGCGGAAGGACATATGACCCCGTCCAAAACGGGGGTAATCAAACTGACCCGTCTCCTAGCAACGGCAAGCCTTGTATCGGGTTGATCCCCTCATAAGTTATTTATGTGACCGGCACAACAATATGTCTCCTTTTGTGTACAGATAATCTATTCCAGCGGCCACTTTGTGGGATTTTCTCACTGTGTGTCCACGGAAGAGTTTACAATGACAGCGGCGCAAACAGCAGCGGGGTACGGGCAGGGCACGTTCTCCTCCACCGTCCTCACTAACCGGGGGGACAACATGACGGTGAGTCGTTATGTCCAAGCAGATCTTTCAGCTGTGGCCGCAAAAGGCAGTATCAAATTGGCCAGGCAGTATCCATTAGCCATACAGTGTCCTTTGGCCACCCGTTGGCTAATGGACACCCATCTGGCCAATGGATACTGCCTGGCCACCGTATGATCTGCTTGGAGATTAGGTGAGTCGGTCAACATCAGGTCACATAGTTGGGGCAACAAGCTCATTAAGAACTTATTAGCGTATTTGTCCTGTAATCAGGCGATGTATTAAACATGGCTTCTCTACATCACGGAAAGCTTTTGAACTCACCAAGGACAACCGACTTGACTCTGGTCTGGTGTGGTCTTGCAACTCGTATGTGTAACAGTCACAAATCCTCAACTTTGTTTACAAAATAGCATGGAGGTAGAAAAAAGAGACTCTTTTTTCTACCTCCATGAAAATAGTAAGGAAGACATCTTTACTCGCAAACTTAATGCCAGAAAGGAAAAAAAAAGTAACGTTACACAATCCTATTGTTTTAACATTTTTCTTTGATATACCAAGGACATTCTATCGAACTCTTAGTAGCCACAGAAAAATCTTACAGATCTTCTATTACGTGTAACGTTATAACAACAACGTTACACCCCCATGAACAAATTCCTGTACACAGTAGCCATTATGTTGTTGTTGTTGTAGTTGTAGTAGGAGTGTTTACTGATGGTTTCTCTCTCTGTTTTTGCAGGTGTTGTCGGACCTTCCCTACCCGAGATCGGAGAGACCGCCCCTCTCCCCGTCCAAGGGTTACCGCCCCATGCACAGATCCACGCTCACCCTGGAGAAGAACCCCTTCAAATCCGACCACAAGACAACAGTCAAACATGTAAATACCAATAAAATGTCTTATTAGTAGCTGCATATAGTCATGCATGACTTCATACTACATGTACATGGCCCCAGATTTGTCATCCTACAACGTTCGGTTTTATAACTATGCTGAGCCCATCCATATTCAAAACTTTTGTATTATTTGTAAAAGACACTGAATTAAAAAGCTTAAAAGCAGCAGAAGGCATGGCTAGGGAGTACCTTACTAAGAGGAGCAACGGACCAAATTCTGACCTGGGCACTTAGGCAGGCAATGTTTTAATTCTAGGTAACATTTTTACTTTAAATGTATGTATTCATCAGTTCTACAGTGGTGACAAGGCCTTGCCCGCAGTCAGCCGTCCAGCCAAGATGCCGTCCATGCACACCTCACAGATAGACCTGAAGGTTACCAAGGATACGTACCTCCACACACATCACAGGAACGCCTTTCTCATTCCTCCAACTGTGCCGGTAAGTCATGGTGGATTTTGGCATGATTTATAATTACTTCTGGGATGGAGGTATTGTTTTGGGTGGCCCTGGTTTAGGGGGGTTTGTATGTTTGGGTTCCACATGTGGGAAGAAAGATGTAATAGTTGAGTATGTTATACATTAACAAGTGTATGAATGATTATCCATTCTATAATGGGGTATGTCATGATGATTGTGGAATAATAACCCTGCAGTTTGCTTTTCTGCTAAAGGACAACTTTCTTTGTTTCTGTACTTGCAACAGGCAACAGTGGAACACGAACCTTCCAACATCAACAGACACAACCAGCGCGGAGGGTTTGACATGAGACGGGTTCTGGTCAACCCGAGCCAGTCGCTGGACTACTGGACAACGTACGCACGCATCCACGACAAGGTGGGGCACCAACGGGGGCCGGGAGCGCCCAGGGTTCCGACAGCACCTGAGCGATACAACATTCTATCAGGTTAGCAGAACAAGCTTGATTTCTTTTTATATTTACAGAAGGAAAACATATTGTTTTTGCTGTTTCCTCTTCTTCTCTAAACCTAAAAGGTCAATGACCTGAACCAGACAGCTATCACCATGGTAACTAGTGTTGGGTTACATCATGTTGCAATTTTATAACAGGATGGACTTAGACTCCTGTCTGACCATATATATGAATGTGTTTGAGTAAGAATTAACAGAGCAGACCATATGGGAAGGTAAACATTATGCATTTGCTTTGCAAATGTTACCTTTCTAGTTCAAGTTTGATTTGTTAGAATGGAGTTAAGAGCTTAGGCTATTTCAGAAGACCCGGAATGATAGGTTTGGGTAGTAGAACCTTCCAGTCAGTATTTTGCATTGTCCATCTCACATAGATGTGCTTTTAAATTCTTCCACCTAGTGTCTGGGTTTCCTTACAATAGCATTTTGTTTCTAATTCACAGCATGCTACAATTTTAAACTTCTGTTATTGAATGTGGGTGTGAGAGCATAACACTTAAAAGCTTTCTTGCCTTTTCTTCTTTTTAGGAGCGTCCCTTGCCCACGGGAGGAGAGAGAGTTTCCAACGGACATCAGGAAACAGGGTACTGAACAACATCAGGGCCAACAACAGCAGTGTCCTCTTAGGATGACCTTGTTTGAAATAACCTTCAACCCACAAGCCCTCCAGACTCGCATTGAACTCTTCAGAGATACTGCTTAGAGTATGGGACTTGTGTATGAATCAGTGTTACTCCTGCCAGTGGTCACTTTTGTGGCGGCTTAAAATCTACATATCATATATAAATAAGAAAGAGATACATTTTGTAGCTACCTGGTGGTACAGGTTCATCTTATAATGTCAAACATCAGTGTCCAGACATTATAGGGTGTGGCTTACAAAACATAAAGCTAAGCATGAGGAAATAATGCCAAATACCAGTTTTCCTCCAAGCTGTTTTTGTCCAGACTTCTTGTGAATTTTTTTTGCTATGCAGTGAACGAGAACCAAAGAAAGTTTGGTGCAGCCTAAGAAATATCTACCATATATTTTTGTATATCATCGCTGCTACTGTCAGGATTATGGACTAATGCTGCACTTTTACAGGAAGATTTGAGATATGCTGCATTTTTCATTAGAAATAGGATACATGTACGTAAAGGTTATACAATAAAATCTTGACTATTTTGTTCTACAAATTCTTGACAAGACCAATTGGGACAAAATTGAGGACTCAGAACCCAAAATTAAGGCAATTTACAGTGACCTCTTGGTTCATTTTTGATCTGTTGACAATTATTATAATGACAATATGGGGGTTTTATAAAAAGATAATTGTACAAAATAAAGAGAATTTCATCAACATATCTGACAGTGCATTTAGCTTTATTTGAAGCACATATACTATATAGCAAATAAGACATCACTGATAGTACATCCACATACATGTCATGTACAATGTACATCAAATTTTACAACTTAATTCATGTCAAAAGATGGAACAAAACCTGTAGCATTCTCATCTTGTACCTGTAGTATTCTCTTAAGCCTGCTTTGTGGTTGCTGAAACTTGCCATAAGCCTATTGATGGTCCAACTGTGGCTTGCATGAAAAGTACATGTACTCCAAATGTTGGTAACTTAATTATACAGGCAACATGTACAATGCCTACATGTTTAACATATGTTGAAAGCCTTTCATGTCAAGCCCTTCTTGCTAACAGCTAAGAGGTTGAAGGTAAGGCATTTATTCAAGCTTTACATACATTTGAGACTCCAAGCTTGTAGACTAGGCAAGTTACAATTAAAGCCACCCATACATGTACATGCCAAGTCCTTCCTTTTCAGCATCATGTACAAGCTGTCATGCTTTCATCAGGTATAGAATACAATACAACCGAGCCAAGCTATGCTAAAAACACAACAGAATTCCGCAACATTTGACTGAAGCTCTGTAACCACTTATAGAAACAAGTTTGAATGGTTTGAAATTCCCTTTGTATCTGTGGTTATATGTATGAAACACAGGGAAGCTCCCTGTGTAATCTATTCTGCATACTTCAGCTACATTTGTCTACTACAAGTCTACTACATGGATGTAATTCCAGTTGTAACGGGGGAAGGGGGGGGGGGCAAAAACATGTAGCACACACAGAAATCACCAGAACAAACTATTTGTTTTCAGCCTCTACCATACTCTTTGGATGATATAAGCCACCATTCTCTACTACTTTTACCTGCCGTTTTAGTCAGTCTACTGTCATTTAACTGGTTACCCTGTTTTTGCCTTTAGAATTCCCCATTTCTTCTCTCACATCTTTCTCCTGTCCTTTGATCGTTCGGAAGCCTGACACATAGAAAAGCAATGAGCCAAAATCTTGGGTAAAGAAAAGTGTATGTACATGTTTTTTATACAGTGTAGGTTTATCGTTAGCAATAGGTACAATATTCTGTACACTTTACAACAGCTGATACAGTCATTCTGACTATCATCCAATGAGAACTAAGAATGCAAAACTGTCTTAGTTTTCATTGGGCAACAGTCAGGTGACTTTCAAGTTGGAAGGAAAAGCTAAACTGGTTTAAAACTGACTTGACCTTGCAAGCTGGTTTACATACATTGTGCAAATTAAATGGTAGGTGGGCTATGGGACCTAAGTTACTTTTCCTTCTTCTGACGTCTTTCCTTTTTCTCGGCATCCAATCCCTGTATCTTTCTCGAGAGTGCTTCTTTTGAAAAGTGTATCCAACACAGGTCTATGTATTACATATCTGACTCCTGTCTTTGATACTTTGACATGGAATAAAGGACTGGCCAGAGCATCTATTTCCTTAATATGACCAACATTTATTCCTTCAAAGTCAATCCTACAGCTAACCTGTACTGTAACACTTTGCCTGGAGTTTTTGGCAACACCTCTGGAGTGGAGTCAAGCATGCCATAGTTTTCTCTCTATAGATGAATCTTACTAGATGGTGACTTTTGTAGAAGTTGATGTAAATTATCTGCATTCTGTAGGTAATTTCTATGTGTGCCAATGTGTACTCACATACAAAATCAACATAAACATCACTATGGTACATACATAACTCCTACACTTACATGAAATAGGTACTAGGTAAGAGTTACTGCTAATATTACTTCTATATAAATGAAGTTGTAACTACTACTGTATATATCGTATATAAAAAAGCACAGATAAGCAGTAGTGACAGCAAGAAGTTTCTATATTGAATCATGCAGTGCATCTGCTTTTCACAGCCCTTACCTTAAAAAAGCTACACTTTCTTCCTTTTTTTTCAAGAGGTATAATAATTGGAGTGAACAAAGAAAGTAACAAAACAATTGAAGAATAAACCCTCTGGAGAAAATGTAGCCTACAGTAGGAAGCCTACACACATTCTAGGTATGACCAGCTGAGATATCATACAGCATCACTATCATAGTATATAATGTGAAGAACACTTAACGTAAAAGTAAGAAGGGTCTTCAGGCTATCACTAACAATGGATAGAGGAGTACAGGTTGGGACTATGTCTGATTTACAGATTAAGACTCCCTTTTCATGTTAGTTCCCTCCTAACTAAGAGACTTCTATGCAGTGCTGTACAGCACTTGATAGGCTTTGGGTGACGACAATACCGCAGAAACTGACCTTCAAAGTACAGCCGTGTGTTTACCCAGGGGTCATACTTGCCTAGTTTTCCCCCAAAGGACATGGACCTCCCACACATCGATTCAGCTTTTATACCTAGAGAGCTTGCTTGTCCTGGGTATAGTATATCTTGAACTGATCTTTCAAAACCCCGATTGGCGACTCCCCCTCCCCCTCTGAAGCGGCGAACTTCGGACAGGAGGAAGCTTTGAGCGCCGCAAGCCAGAAACTTAAGACACGAGATCTCATAGTATCAACACGACCCTTTCTAGAGAAAGCTATGAAGTGCACTGCCCACGGTGGGCGTCGGACCAACCCTGTGTGGCACGGTTGGCCGTTTTTTGCTTTTCCAGTCTTCCATATTTCGGTCGTGCGTACAAAGCAGTCTATAAAGATAGGCGATCCACGGGTCCTCTACCTTTATGCACTGACTGCGTTCGAGGTTTGCGCCATCCCGAGCGTGACCGACGGTGATGACGGGCTTCGTTTTTACTGATTCGTCCTAGCTTCGTCCTTCTTCTGTGACATCACACCCACGGCGTCCATCCTTCATAAAGCAAGGCAAGGTTCTCCGTGCTGGTAGCCTCCTTGATCACAAAGTCCACCTGGAATTAAAGCAACATTATACTTCGTCCAGAACATGTTGACCTCTGTGAAGCTATAACTTGCCAAAAAAATAAAGTTTAAATTTAAAGCCGGTGATGCTGAGATGCAAATACAAAATGTAGTACATGTGCTAAAATTGCGAAAACAGTGTATCTGAGGTTAAAGAGTGTTTCCCAATAATGGTTGACTATGATGCAGAACTATCAGATAACCTGCTCAGCAATGGGCATCCTCCGAGAGGCGTCTATATCACGTCCGTCCAGCTTCGCCTTCACTCGTCGCCACACACTCACGGCGTAGGAATTCCTTTCCTGGAGAGCTGGGGAAACAAATGTCAACAAAACTGCTTAGAAAACAGAGAATAGGTCACATGCGCCAGACACTGAAAATTACAGTGCTTGAGAAAGTTGTCCTTACATCAATTAAGGCAAACAAATAACATGACACAATGTCATCTTTTTACACTCACTCACTCACTCCTCACTCACTCATTCACTCAATCAATCTACAGAAAAAGACAAAATGTACTTTACTAGTTTTCATACCCATATCAACTCTACTCTCGGTTAAGTCAGTCCTTGCTTTTTCATCAGAACATTATGTATTGTGTAAGTCATATTTACAACAGTTTTGGGCAATAATTTGGGGTTGGAGTCCTTCTTGTACCTTTCCCTGTTCTGGGATCGCGTATGGCAGCTGCGGTCTTCTTGGGCGTGCCTGGTCCCTTGCCGAAGCCAGGCGGGGTCCCCGGATGTTCGGGAGTCCTTCCGGAGAAGCGACACTGTCCTGCCTGACGGCCCGGGGGAACTGTTACGGTCTGCCTTCTTCTGACTTGTTGCTACTACATGTACAACGTGTGAACAAAACAATTCAAGAAAAATACATGTGTTCATGGCAGTTATCAGGAAATGCAGTCTATCATGGCAGCACTATTACACAAAATACTGCAGCTCAGAGGTAGCAAAGTATGGGAAGTGTGAAACTGGTAGATGTTGTGGCTCTCCACAGTTTTTTTGCACTTAATCATTTGTCAACAGTGTATGTTCTCTATGCAGATTTTCATGACCCCACCCCTTAACAGTATTCTTCCCAGGTTATTCACAGACAACTGTCTTACCAGTAGCAAATGGAGTCTGTGCCTCTGTGGTTTCTCTGCTGGTCACCAAGGGAGTAGCAAAGCTCACCAGCTCGTCATAGATCCTTTATAACATTGAAAAACAAAAATGATGAGGAAAGTTACAAGAACTGAACTACGCTTGACTTACAAAAGAGGGAAACAACTGAACAAGCAGGCAAATGTCTGTAGTTTTCTAAAAGAGATGGAAGGCTTATATAAGTGTCTGGTCTCGAGAGTTGGAAGACTTACATCTGGTCTAGAGAGATGGAAGACTTACATGTGTGTCTGGTCTAGAGAGATGGAAGACTTACATGTGTGTCTGGTCTAGAGAGTTGGAAGACTTACATGTGTGTCTGGCCTAGAGAGTTGGAAGACTTACATGTGTGTCTGGTCTAGAGAGTTGGAAGACTTACATGTGTGTCTGGTCTAGAGAGTTGGAAGACTTACATGTGTGTCTGGTCGATAAGGAATGTGATGGTGGGTCCGACCTGGGACAGCTGGGATGCGCTCTCCTCCCCAGAGCAGCCTACGATACAGGAATAAAGGAGTTTTACAATAAAACTACTGAAAACAAACAAAATTCATTTTTCAAAACCTTTAAACCCCATACCAGGTATACTCTAGGTAAGATGTCCCTCCCTAATGTGTCTGTAGTAGAATGGGGATATTGGGTGGAAAAACGTTAGTCAAGACAATTCCAACTAGAAAGGTTACTGTAATATTTGCAAAGCAAATACATTATGTTTACCTTCACATGGCCCAGCTTAACAAACTACTGCCTTGTCTGTTCTTTCTTCTTACTCAAACACATCAATATAATATGGTGACCATGCAGCCCCTCTTGGACTCAGTTCTGCATGGCACTCGCAACATTATGTAACCCAACACCATTTACCATGGTGACAGATGTCTGGTTCTGGTCATTGACCCTATTTGTTTGGAGAAGAAGAGGAAGAAGAAGAAACAGAGCAAAAACAAATTGAATATGTTTCCTGCAAAGGTAAACATAATCAAAGACAACCCTGACCTTGCAGTATGTTCATGAGGAGGGAGGTGAACATCTCCGAGTATGTCCGGTAACCCCCCATGAACTGTCGGATCCTGCTGCTCTCCTCCTGTTGGTCAGCATCGCTCGCTTCATCCTCCTGTGAAACACAGTGGTTAATGTCACTCTGGGCAGACATGTTGGGGAGGGGGGCACAGCAGACATTTTCTCTTATGACATTGTCACAAACTTAGAACTAAAACAAGTGTCTGTGGTAAAGGTTCATATCCATATTATAAAAGTCATCATCATAGCTTGTCGCCAGTCCACACCAACCAGTTCCACGCTGCTTCATTGGCCTTATACAGGTATGTAAGCGTGCCACACAGCACGTTTCGACGGCGTCAAAAGTGCACAGGAAACACGCAATGACGGCAGGGTGCATGTATATGGGGCACCCAGAACGGCTGTTTTTAACGGTCTCCACATTGATATAAAGCTAAAACGGTTGACTATACTCGGGTAGAATATAGTTAATCATATTTTACGATCTTTTGATTCCTATGAAGGGCAGAATTTGAGAAATTTACGACTTTGCCAAGCCCGTACTGAGCGCCTGTCAGGACGTGGAGCGCCGATCCGGCGAAGATCGTTCGACTAACCCGTTCTGAAAATAAAGAAACAACACCAAAACTATCAACTTTTCCGCTTGTGATAATCTTCAGATGTATTACTTGTGGTTTTCTTCGTTGAAGCTGCCAGTTAACCTGCATAAAGACCTATAATTTGGCCGCGGAGTTCAGCGGCACGGCACGAAAAATCCGCCATGTTGTGCCGGCCGCTTAGACAGAAAGTAGCCACTTATTGCGACACATACATTACGGCGGTACGGCGTGAAGTTGGCTGGATGCGGCGCTCGGTCTCTCTTTTTTGTGTGAGTCCGTTACATGGAAGATTTTCGGACACAAGCTTGAAGAGAAATATTTCTAAGCTGAATGGTTCATTTCTAAATAATGTATTTCACAATAAAAGGCAAGCGGGGGAACTTTCCGCATGCCGTCGCCACGTGCCAGTCAGCACGTCAAGACGTGCTGAGCAGCACACTGTGACGGAAGTTTTGTGGACTGACGGTGAACTAATAAAATGTTGCTGCTACAGTTGTGAGACTTGAGGAGGTGAAAATTGTCGATTTAGCCACAGGGCAATTCGATAAAAAAAAGGTAAGTACTTGTAGAGAATGTCGACATCGCACGCCAGTTGAAGTTCTGACCCGCCCTCCTGTGCCACGCTGCACGCTGTGACGGTCGAACTTAGGAACTCTTACAGGTATTTTTAATTTCTCTTATTTTAGTTTTAGAATGCGTCATTAATTTCCAGGCTCTAATTTCTAAAATTGTTTCTAAAAAAAGTGGTTGTAAGAAAATTTTAAAGTTTATTTAGAATTTTAGATTCTTTTTCGTTTGTTTTATTCGACCGTTACCGAAATATTTCTCTTCAAGCTTGTGTCCGAAAATCTTCCATGTAACGGACTCACACAAAAAAGAGAGACCGAGCGCCGCATCCAGCCAACTTCACGCCGTACCGCCGTAATGTATGTGTCGCAATAAGTGGCTACTTTCTGTCTAAGCGGCCGGCACAACATGGCGGATTTTTCGTGCCGTGCCGCTGAACTCCGCGGCCAAATTATAGGTCTTTATGCAGGTTAACTGGCAGCTTCAACGAAGAAAACCACAAGTAATACATCTGAAGATTATCACAAGCGGAAAAGTTGATAGTTTTGGTGTTGTTTCTTTATTTTCAGAACGGGTTAGTCGAACGATCTTCGCCGGATCGGCGCTCCACGTCCTGACAGGCGCTCAGTACGGGCTTGGCAAAGTCGTAAATTTCTCAAATTCTGCCCTTCATAGGAATCAAAAGATCGTAAAATATGATTAACTATATTCTACCCGAGTATAGTCAACCGTTTTAGCTTTATATCAATGTGGAGACCGTTAAAAACAGCCGTTCTGGGTGCCCCATATACATGCACCCTGCCGTCATTGCGTGTTTCCTGTGCATTTTTGACGCCGTCGAAACGTGCTGTGTGGCACGCTTACATAGCTCCCTTATAAAAGTATCTAATACCTATCAATTGTGATAATTTGCAAAGCATAGGAATAACAAATCCAGCAAAAATCCAGCAAAAGTGTCACAAAATATAAAACTGGAATGAAGTTCTGTATCCTTGGAATCATTTCAATAATAAAGTAGTTTATTACTGTGTGGGATATGAAAGGTTCAAATGTCTAGCTGTCAGAAATCCTTTGTTGCTAGATTAGGACAGTTTGTTGTTGTACCTTAGCCATGGACTTGAGCATGATTTTCACATCTGACAGCAGCTTGTGGTGAACAGTCAGGATGCCCTTGACAGAGGACACTTCTGACTTCAGCTGTTCCTATATGTACAAGAAAATACCACATGACTGAACTTAACCATACAGGTACAAAAATCAGGATGTTTTTGATATCAACAATTATGTATTATTGCATGTGTGCACTTCAATCAATTGGATATCTTCAAACTAAGTGTTTTCTTACGAGTGTGCTGTATTAAAACTTTTTCGATTTGTTTGTATGCAAGGAGTAATCAGTACAGGCAATGAATTTGGCTGCGTATTGACTAATATATGACAACCTGCCTTAGATCACATAAGTTCTAAGAGTTCTGTATTACCAATCTGGAAGCAGCACACAGTTGTCTACTTCAATACTTTATTATGCATGATCACATTTGCTCTGCATGTATTAATAATAAAAATTGGTTTTGTTTTAGTGAAATGATGTGCAAGTGCAGTACTAGTGTGTGTTGACAGAGGGCACCCCTGACTATGGCTGTGACCGTACCCTGGTTGTCTCCACGCCCATCTCCTGTTCGGCAGCCCGGCTCTGTTGTACAGACATCTCTTGTACCACCAGCTGGTGTAACGTGTGGAACCAGGACTCTCCGATTGGCTGCTCCAGGCTGGGGGGCTACGCATAAAAAAATTATGGGAGTCAGCAGGGACCAATACTTAGGAATTCTTCTCTATGGATATGGAAGCTACCAAGTAAGACCACATGAGGATTTAAGGGCTCATAATGACTAAAAGTCATGATCTCTTGATTTACTACCAAACTGAAACAAAAACAACAGGATTTAATATTAATAATATCAACCTATTTTTCTGATCATTATCACACCCTGAACCCTATCTTAATCCATGAAGATGCGTAATTCTTCCTCAAAGTCTTAATACAGTTCATCATTAGCCAGGTAACAGAGTTTTTTTTGCTGGTTACCCACCAACATCTGTATGAGAGCCTGTTCCATGTCAGCAACTGTAGTGGTGCAGGATTCCAACAGACGGGAGCTCTCTTCACACCTGGGGAATGCCATTAAAGTAACACTGATCAACCTTACTCAATAAAACTTGCTTTCAACAGTAATACAGCAGTATCATAATATATACATACAAATAAAAAAGAGGGAAAAAAGTATGCCTGGGAGCTGTCAATAGCTTGATTCAACATTAGGTCTCCTTCAATAAAATCACATAGAATAGCATGATACTTTTGTCAAGATAATGCATGCAAAAGGCAATGCTTCTTACCCATGGCATGAAGTAGTTTGTGCCAAACGCATATGATACTGATACAAACATGGTCTGTACCATTGCACAAGTGGGGGGTTTACCTCCTGATGAGTGCCAGAAAGGTCGCGTCTGCCTGCATGGCCTCTGGTGTCCTTGTCCGCAGAGCCTCAAAGTGTAGGACAGCATTGCACAGCTTACATACGTCACTGGCACGTCGCCCCTCATTCTGATAATAACAACATTGCGCACTTTATTTTTTATCACCAAAACATACCTGGATGATGTGGATGTATGAAAGATGCACCTATCAATCATCTTCAGTTTTGTCCGTACCAAACCTGGAAAACTGGTCACAGTTAGCCATTTTCATATTTTGATTCAACGATAAAGGCACTACATGCGTACCTGTATCTTATGCAGGAGAGGTTATGTTTAACATTTAATATGCACTTACCATAGCCTGACATCACTGTGTTTTTTTAATTGTTTTTAAACAAAATATGGTGAAATATTTAGCATTTGCTACCAAATGTTAGATCTATTTATTTGAAATTCCTATGTACCATCAGTAGAGTGTTCCTGTTGTTCTGTGCCTCTTCAAAGTCGAGCAGCATGGTCTGTAGGGAGGGGTTAGCTCCTGCCGCCCACTTCAGCCTCTGTGCGATGCCTGCCTCCAGCTGTGTGCTTCTCTCTTGTACTGACCCAACAGCACTGTCCAGCTGAACTAACGTCTGCACGTACTGGACAGTAACATTACGCAGTGGTGTGAATGAAAACATGGGTTTAACAACTAGCAGAACACGGCAATACTGCAGTGAAGTACGTTGTTTTGTGTCTGCATTTATAAGAGAAACAGCAAGATGGCACTGCTACATTGCTACAATGCAAAGTCTAACCTCTATGTCAGCTCCTTATTCTTGCTGATTTTTACATACTATGATATTATTATTCTTTTTTTAACATGGCAATAATTTTCTCAAATTTGATGATAACTTTCTCAGAAAAGCTTTATGGCATACCTTTCTAAGGTCTGACATGACGGATGCCCGGGAAGGTGCGACCAGTGAGGAGCTGCCGCTGTGGTGGACCGTCTGCAGCAGGGTGTCCTCGTGGTACCACTGATAGCGGGCCAGCTGCAGCTGTGCTCGCTGCACCGACGCCTTGCACTGGTTGATGTTGATGTCCAGACGCCTGACCAGGTCGTGCTTCCTCCAGGCGATGTCGTGCGAGCTGGTCAGCGCCGAGGCCTGAGCCAGCAGCGGCTGCGTGAAGCTGTTGGTCCGCAGGTTGTGATCAACGGCCAGCTTGGCCAGGTCGTCGATGGACACTCTGGACTCAGCACCGACATCCTTGGCATTCACCTCTGCCACCACGTCCACTCCAAGGGCATTGATGAAGGTACACAGTGTGTAGCCTAGCGACTGTGACGGGTATCCAATCACCTGCCAGATGTAACACACAAAGTCAGGGGTCCATAATACAGAGAGTCATGACAATGCAATAGTTTTTTCTTGAAGAACTAGATTTTGCTTGCCTTAGTGGACAGTAGCTTGACCAGTTGGAGGATGCAAGGGTGGTAAAAACAACCAAAATTTGGATAGGCTATCTGATAATAGCATTAATAACCTGCTTGGTCCTCGACTCTGCTCCCTTAGCAATGCATTCGATGGTCATAGGAAATGACCAGGCCTTATGACACCATATGCACCCCAGGGCAGATCACTAACCCTTTTATGAAAACCGCAAAAACATATAAAGAAATAAGAATTTTGACAGAAAGTACGCACCAGTTGTCTGACAAAGTCTGCGATGTATCTCTTGATGGGTTTGACCAGCTGGTCGTCTGTGTGGAGGTGCATGGGGCCGTCCGGGGAGGCCTTCCCTGCGTGGGAGGGGCTGAGGTGTCCGTTGGGCAGGCCTGGGGACGGTGGTGTACTGTCATAGGTTGTAGCTAGACCAGGAAACATTCATTAGACATCCAACAGTTATGACGAACCCTCTAGTTACTGCACTTATTGAAAAAAAATGCTTTTGAATACATGTCTTTCTAAATACTTGAGAAAGAAAACACAAGAAAACAGGGACAAAAGAAATCTTTGGAAAGGTAATGATACAGAGAAAGTAAAGACAACGTTGTCAATGTCTGAAGCATCAGGTAACAGGCAAAAATCAACCTTTAGAAAAGTCCCAAAACATGATCAAGACATGGTTTCAGGTGCCAGTTGTGGATATCTGTGGTTGAAGGCAATACCACTATGTTGTGAGAAGGACGCGTACCTGTTAGACTTGCAGCCATGTTCTTGCACAAGTTGAAGTAATCCTGCATGGCCTGTAGTCTCTTCACCAGGAAGATGTCCCACAGGAGCTGGGTCGTCATCTCCCCGAACACCGACGCCTGCATCCCCCGCGCCTCACGTACCACGTCAACTTTACGCCACTCTGCTGGAACCTGCCAATGAGAATGAACACATGAAAAGGGTCGTTTTCGGATCTGAATTCTGAACATCTACGTTGGCCCCATAGAGATGGAATTTTCCCTAAGTATTTTTCTATGAGTAAGAGTTATTCTAAATTAGATCGACTGTTTACCTACCAACAGACTAAGCCACTGCCCCATCGATCAATCATCTGACTGACCAACCATGTAATACACCAACTAAAAACAACAAAGTGTTCAACTAAACAACCCACCTACACACCTATTCCCCCCATCTACATGTACGTGTAACACCCAACTGCAGTACTGGTGTTACCTGCAAGGTGTCCAATAGGTGCAGCAGGCTGCTCAGCTCAGTCTCCACAGTAGTGAAGAGGCCGTTGAACCCAACCAGCAGCATCTGGCCGGAGGTCATGTTAGGGGTCACAGGTCGCAAGCCATTCTCTGTGGAAAACAAAACAAGTAGGTTACATGTAAGTGTTTTGTTAACTCACAATAATTAGAACCCACAATCAGACAGATTTCCTCCTTCAGAGTATTATTTGCATCGCTGCCCTGAAATTGCATGCCTTTAAATCTATGTGCAAGATATGGAAAGCATAGACTAAAGGAAAAGATTTGGAAGGTGTGATTCTTACCTGCTGTGTCTGTCTCCTCTGGATGAAGAAGTCTCTCATATTTCTGCCTCAGAGTCTCCGCAATGACTAAGACATCGTTGTAATCATCAACCTTAAAACAAGGACAGAAAAAAACTTTACCTACAGTACTTCTAGAATTAGTAACTGTTAAAGGAACTTTCTCTATAGATCTATCTAGAGTTACAAAATTGTAGACTTACACTTTCAAGTAAACAGCATCTTTAAAGTGGCCTTTTACCTCATACATTTATAAAAACAATATTTTTTCCTCCTCATTAAAGTTCAAGTAATAAATTCATTTGCCCTACCTCCAGACCTACAGTCAACTTCCTCAGGTGAACCTGTAGAGATGACACTAGTGCATCTAGTGGCATCCTGGTATCCTCTATCAGACCCTCCAGTCCGTCCAGCAGTGCCATGGCTGACGGGTCCTCACTCTGAATCAGCTTCATCGCCTCGGGGAGGATGATGGACCGGAAATTGCCATTCAACTCCTGAAGGAACAAGAAATCAGACATTTCAGACTGATGGAAAGTATTCTGGGTTTTTCTGACATTCAAGCTCAACCCAATTTCCTATGTCTGATGAGCTCCTGTTATTCTGCCAGTCAAACTTCTACCCACCCGCTGTCAACTACTATGGTTAAAAGCACAGTAGCAGAAAGGATATAATGGCAGCACTGACCTGTAAGCTGGTGTAGACCTTGTGTGCTGTGAAAACAGCATTCATGCTGTTCTGGGCAACCTCCGACACAGCACACTGTAGCTGAAACCAAAGTGTGGCAATTTTACATACATTTTCCTGTTAGCTTGGTTCAATTGACATATGCATGCATTAACTGCCCAGCTAGCCACAGAGTACATCGATCAGTAAATAATTTCATCAGGTTGGTATGTAACTGAGTAACAAAGAACTTTACTGTCAACTTTACAGGTCAGCATTTTGGTGACCATCTGTCACCTTCCTCAGGACAATACTGGGTTTCTCTACTTTGCACTACCCTGTATTATTGTTACAAAAGGTATATAACAAGCCCCAGGCTATCTTTAAGGGCTAATCTCAAAGAGTCAAACACAAGATTTAACCATATTACACTGTCAAGTTTTAATCTCAGATCAATTCCCTACAGAGGTGACACTCCGTACCAGAGGATGTTCCTTGAGCACAGTGATGAGCTGGGTGACATTCCCACTCATACTGCACAGTTCATCCAGGAACCAGTCTCCATCTCGAGAGGTCAGGTCCATCAGTCTGTCACCTGCAGCTGCACAACGAAAATAACTTGTTTGTTTATTGTCTGTCTACTTTAACCTTCTTTCTGTTGCTCAACCCCAAACAACTAGCCAAATGGCTACTTCAGTCTGACAAAGGTTAAAAATACTGGCTGGGATAATGACACTTTTTATAGGGGACAGAGAAAGGAGTAAGGCTTCAACAAAACTATGAATACTTTTACTACTGGTAGTTGTGTATTGCAGTAACAATATATGAAATGTAACTGGACCTTTGATGCTGTTGTTCTTCTGCAATGCCCAAGACACCAAGATAGGTTGTTCTGTGAATGAAAATAAGGCATGACATGTACCTGCAGCCGCCCCCTCCATGACAAGACAGCGCCGGTTCAGTGCACACAGCGCTGTGACAACCACACACGTCAGGCTGGACACACCACTCACTCCATTGTCTGCAAAACCAAAAGTGTCAAATTTTACCACCAGTTCAACTAAGACTTAGTAGTGTACCAAAATTATGGATGCTTGTTCATTACATTTTCTACAACATAAGGTGCTATATAGTAACGCTTAGAGTTCAATTCTGCTGTCCATTACCTTCGCTTTTTTTGGTAGCACACACACACACACGTCTTGTAATTGTTTCTTTGCTTGTGGTTTAGCATGATAACTTAAGAACCTATGGATGGATTGTCACGAAACTTGGTAGGTTGGTAGGTCTTGACCTATCAAATAAATGATTAAATCTTCGACCCCAATCCTGATACCAGTTTTGATGTCTTGGGTTACATGTACATGTACATACCCACAAGGTCCCCTTCCCTGCATGAGTCCTATTTGACCACAGTATCCAATTCTAAGACAGTTACTACATAGTACATGTACATGTACACCTGACGGTTTCTTACCAATGATGAACTGTTGGATGTTGGAGGAGGTATCCTTTACTGCTGTGACCAATGAAGAGCTTTCATGACACTCGTGACTGCGACGTTCATAGAGCTATAGAGGTGTACAAAAACACTGGTGTCATAGTAGGGTTAAGAATTCAAATGTAAAACATGCAATTGTATTATTGCATTAGTGTAGCTTGTTTCTCAAGTTCACGTTATGACTTTTATAGCAGAAATTTACATGATTGTCTTTAAAACACTGCTACTGGTAGATATAATTCATTGAGCATGCATTATCCCATACAAACCAGATTCAGAACCTTGAGCAGTTTGGCGTTTGTCTCGGTGATGAAGCTCTGCAGTTTGAACTCAGTGTTGGAGACCAGGTGAGATGTCAGGGTGTGCGAGGCGATGTCCTTCCCTCCGTACCTGGACTCAAACAGCGACAGGATCTCCTGACACCTGTGTGGTACAAAGTTGGAAAGATATAAACTTATTTTCACTATAATATTATAATTGCTTGGAAGTATGAACATGAAAGCCAATTGAGAGAAAACAACAAATCTAAGATTCCACACCTCTGTGAAGTATTTAGAGTTGTTCCGTATGTTGTTATACCAGGTTTCATTATTGTGAATTTCCAGCCTGCAGGGAGACCATTTTGACCTCCAACTTGACCTTCCTGTCAGTCTGCGGTTATAGCATCTCCCCCTCACTTCCTGTGGCTCTATACTGTATTCAGATAACTATGGACACCAAAGCAAACAAACAAATACACATACATTGAAAACACAGCCAAACAGTACACAAACAAGTTACCTGTGTGAGGAGAAGTCACAGATGAGTTCCTGTAACCAGTGGTGCCAGCTGTGGAAGCGGTTCAGTTCACGGTAGCTCTCTGGAAACTGCACAAACAACAGCAAAAATCCATGTCATATATGTAGTTATTTTTAGCCTGTTTTTCCACCAATTCCACAGTCTATACATGTTGTTTACACAGAAATTTTAAAAATTGTAATTTGAAAAGGAATTCTTGAACCACTCTGTTTTCATTTACAAATGTACTTGTCACATACTGAGTTTTACATGACATTGTATGTACTTTGAAGTTGCATGTTTGGGATAGCTACTAATGCTGGAATGTTACACTGAAGCTGTGAGGAGTCCTACCTGGGCAACAACCGTGCTGTACGTGGACAGCACCTCCAGACAGCTGTGCAGGACAGTACGTCTCTGGTACAGCATCTGGGACAGCTCACTATCCACCTGCTCACACTGATACATGGGAAACAGGAAAAGTTATGTTTCTAGATAAGCAAATGGAATGCATATAGAAGTCACGTCTGAGAAATGTACAGGTACTTGTTTACATGCAGACTGTTGAAAACCCACCTGTGTAACAGTATGTCCCTGCCCGGCATTCTGTAGGAAACTGATGGCAGAAACGTAACTGGGAACACCTGTGGTGAACAGATAGCAGTTAACAGAACAGCCACATTGCTAATTGTAAAGTGTACACAGTCATGTAGTGCTCAAGTTGTTAGCTTTTGACTTTGGATCACATGATTGGGGGCTCAGATCCTAGCTTACTGGTTAGAACTCATACCACCATGTTCCTATACCATAGTATTAGGCATTTGGCTTCTGGTAATTCATTTAACTTAGAATAATAGGAACACTCAGCATTTGTCTGGTAACAAAACTTTTAGTCCTTTAACAACAACAACAACTACAACTGGAAATGACAGGAGGACAGAAGTTCTGACTTACCGAGGTCCAGTCTGGTGGACACTTCTGAACACAGTTGTGACAGCTGAGGACCCTTCAGGATAGCCAGTGCCCACTGTTAAAGATAATTTAAAAACTGTCGATTTATACATCCAGAAGATCAAATTTAAAAAACATTCCAACTGAAAACTGCAACATGGAACAACATCATGTATCTCGTTCTTTGTCGTCAAACCCTGACCTCTTTCCTTATGACCTCAATGAAAAGCTGCCAGCAGACCAATTTGTGGATTTCATGGCTAAAAACAATATGTTTCTCCACACCACTTTGTGGTGTGGTGAAGCCATAACAAAGAACCTGCCCAACAGACCTGGTGTTGTTTTGTCCAGTGGTCACACTCGTTCAGTTTCTCCTGGATAGCCTCCTGTACCATGTTCCTCACCTGTAGTACCTTCTGGTGTTCCGTGTACCTGCGACAAGATATAATATAAAACATTAAATACTGTAAAAAGTGTTTACTTTTCCAGTAGTTTATTTCACAGTGGGAAAAAAAGGAGGTTTTTGTGATGTTTGACTTTGAACTTTGCAATGACAAAATTGTAGTCCAGGAGAACTATTGTATCAAACACATATTGGCAGTGATATGATTTTGGGCCAACAGTTCAGCACGAAAACTGCAAAAATAAAATCACGGCAAAAGTGGTGCTGAACACTAACCTATGTTGTAGTGAATGTAGTGAGTGGTGCTGGTCCTGCAGTGCGGCCTCCAGCAGACATTTCTGCTGCAGCAGGCTGGAGTTACTACTGCAGACGTGCTGCAGCTGCCGCTGGGACTCCAGGTGCTCCTCCAGGGTTTCCTGCAGCCTCGGCAGGGCAGAAACCATTTCATCCCTGAAAAAAAAAAGTACGTCATCACAAACCAACAAACAAACAAGCTGTGTCAGAGCCTTGCCTATCTTAAGGGCTTTTGATGTGTGTTAATCAAACTTCAAGTGGCAACAAATGGCCAAGTGGTTAGACTAGCAGACACAAGATGGAGAGGTCATGTGTTTGATTTATAGCATTCCTTACTAGATGTTGTGTGGGAAAGGCACTTAACATCACTGTCCTTACTTCACCCAGTTATTAGAGTCTTTACCAAGCATTTTGAAAAGTCATTGTTGTACCACTGCTGTCCCTGGTGCTGAAACGTCATTGTTCTAACATTGCTGTCCCTTTGTGCTAAAATGTCATTGTTCTAACATTGCTGTCCCTGGTGCTGAAACGTCATTGTTCTAACATTGTTGTCCCTGGTGCTGAAACATTATTGTTCTAACATTGCTGTACCTGTTTTTGAACCAATTGACTTTCATCTCTGCCACACGGGAGGAGAACAGACTGCGAGTGATTTCCTTCTCCATCTCCTTCCTGCTCTGCCTGGCATCATTTGTCGACGTCTGCCCTCCCCCATACACGGCCCCAACGTATCCCCCCTCGTGACCCGTGGTCCAGTCCACCAGGGGATCGTACACAAACGCCTCCAGCAGGGTGAGGAGGGTCTCCCTCCCCTTCCGCATCAGTTTTAGTACTTGTTCACTTGACAGTCGGAAAAGACCCTTTGAAAGAACAACAAAGAAAAACCAAAACTGTTAGAAAAGATCTACATTGTATACACTGCAAATCATTATCCAGACATCCCCCTTTTTATACAATATATATACAGCTTAACTACAATCGTGTGCTACATTCAATTCATAAAATTCCTAAATGATCGTCTAATTGACATTTAGAGTTTTATTTACTACATATTTCAAAGGATCATCAGCAGGGTACCAATATGTTCCCTATATTTTAACCAGACAAGTTCACCTTTTTGATTTTAGTGTAATGTGTAATTGTAAATACCAGCATGACAAGTCAACCAAGTGATAATCTTGGTAATAAAGATTTCGAAGAACACAAACCTCCACTCCAGTAGGACCGAGCCCTGCCTCAATGTTCTGGGTCATACGGAACGGAACTCTCTCCGGCACACGTAGGCCCTTCCCCTTCTCAAAACAAACATTGTAGTCTATGTGTACCACCTAGAACAAAAAGAAAAAAAAAAACACAGAACAAAACGTACTTTAGAATGGATCACAAATGAATCTATACCAATTGACAGCTGCCACTACAGTGCTGCCCAAAACCAACATTCCCTTAGGATATTTCAAACTCTTTACTGTTACAGTAGTACCTTGTTGGCTCCGCCCCTTAGATGTTGCAAATAAAGGAGTTGCATCCACAGGACATGCTACAATCTCACAATGATTACTTGTCAGACAACGCAAGAAGTAAAATTCCATTTTAGAAAGAAAATACACTGAAAATTGCCCCCCAAGAAGATCAGGCGGGGGACAGATAAAATCAGGTCAGTATGTAGACAGTGGTCACTATGACAATGTTTGTGTCAATGGAAAAATGTCAAAGTAACCACCAAAAATAGGTTACATTGGTCTGCTAGTCATTATGTATGGTTGTTTGTAAAGGTTTGACTATCTATCAACAACATAGCAGCCAGACTACATGACAGCACAGTTGTTCAACCCTGCGTAAATGAACCCCTGGAACACACAACCTCTCCAGTGTTGAGGTCGATGAGTATGTTGTCCAGATGGCGGTCCCCCAGGCCGATGATGTAGCCAACCATGGACATGACGGCCGTGGAGCGACAGTACAGCTGTGTGACCCGCCACCACTCTGCTGCACTGCTGCACGAGCACCACAGCTCACTGTACAAACAAACAAACAAACAAAACACTACAGTGAGTCAGCTTGCCAACATGGTGCAGATCGTATTTTCACCTGCAATCTAGCAAAATTATCGTCCAGGTCCCAATGCCACAATTATGTTGTAACAATGACAATGTTCACTGATACTGAATCAGACTTCCTGGAAGTCTTTTGAGTTTTTGTGGCGTTCAAATTCGCAGGCCTCCAAGACGTGTTTCAGGAACTGTGGAGGGGATTGTATGATGTAATCTATATGCATATGCTGAGTCTCCTTCAGGGAGTCCCCTTCAGGTGACCTCCTTATCAATCAACTGTTGAAATCACATCCCACCCACCATGCAACTGAAAGCATTCAAGTCAAAGACAAACCCATAACTAAGCCACACAAAATAATACTTCAGAAGCACCCAGGAGAAACATGGATGTAGAAGAAAGACACTAACCGTGCGAGCAGGTCTCGTGGTGTTTCCCTGACCAGTTCACAGAGGACCTCCTTCTGTACGCTGTTCGGCCACTCCTTCCTGTTGGACAGGTCAGTTACACCCTTCTCCTTCAGTAAGGGGGTGATCTTACTGTAGTACAGCTCACTGGGGCGCATGATGGGCGCTGTGTTCAGCCCCTGGGTACTGCCTCCACTGCTACTGGAGCCCTGAAGAAAAGGCAGGGACAGCAGTGTTATAGCAATGTCTTTTCAGTACTAGGGACAGCAATATCACAACAATGACTACTCAGCACCAGGGATAGCAATGGTACAGCAGCCTCAGCAGCAGGGACAGCAATGTTACAACAATGATGTTTCAGCACCGGGGACAGCAATGTTAGAACAATGATGTTTCAGCATCAGGGACAGCAATGGTGCAACAATAATGTTTCAGCACCAGGGACAGCAATGGTACAACAATGATGTTTCGACAAATGAGGCAGCAATGTTATAACAACTTTTTTGAAACTAGGGACAGCAATGTTATAACAGTGACTGTTAAGCACCAGGGACAGTGACAATACAATATAACACAAGCGATATAATGACTCAAATGACAAAAAAAAAACAGACATCCTTTAAAAAGTCTAACTACATGTACTTTTGATTAAAGTTCTACAAAAAAAAACACACCAAGCAATTGTTAATATCATAATCAAGCCCTTTACCTGTTGCTTCATGGCAGCGATGGTTGCCTCTCTCTGCTGCCATCTCTTGTACAGTCCAAACAGAGGCGTGGCCCCGTCAACCCACTGTATGAGTCCAGACCTGGGGCCTAGAGGGGTGACTGAGTAGTGCCTGGCATGGTATCTGGGGCTCTGGTGTCTGAAAAACAATAATTCAACATGTAGCTTTGTATAAGGTTCTTTATTCAACAACAAGGGGTTTTCACATTTAATGTTTCCATTTTCGTCTGTCACCTTCTTCAGGGCAACAATGACTGGTTCAGATCTGAACTGCAGCAATATTACAAATATAGATTTTGTGGCATGGACACTTAGCTGTAGTATGAATCAGAATCAGTCATTGTTCTACTGAAGAAGGTGCCATTAAAGCATCAGATGTGGGATTGTTGCATAAAGAATATTCTTATACAATCTCTTGAGAAATCATATTGTCTGTATAACATTGATATATATGAATAAAAATTCCTGTTTTCATAGTTAACAAAAATACACGGGTTGATATGTACCTGTTGACTTTTGCAAACATGTTGTTGACAATAGACAGGAACTGCATGATGCGCTCATCCAGGTGTAGATCCTCTAAGCCTTTGAACAGGTACGTGTACCTACGTGTTGGTAGAGAAGAGTTATTGAATAGGTACATGTAGGGTACACGTCAAAAGTGTTACAATGGAAAATGCACAGAACTGCAACCCTAATGTGTGCATTTCTCATAATCGGAAACAACGCACTTTTGCAAGAGCAGTAATTCTACTTGAAGGATCTTTCAGCACCAAGGACAGCAATAATAGTAAAATTTCTTTAGTACCAGGAAAAAAAATTCAAGCAGTGTCTTTGGAAAGCATTTTCAGCACCAGGGACAGTGATCTTACAGACAGTGACCTTTCAGCACCAGGGACAGTAAAGTTCAAAAAGTTTTTTTCATCACAAATGACGGCTATTACATGTATGTCTGTAGTGCAAGGGAAAGCAATTTTAGCAGTCTGATTAGCAAGCTTTTCTTAGCACCTTGGACAGTAATCAATTCAAATCATTTTTGAACACCACAGACTGCAGTGAAACTTAAAGGCATCTAAATCATGAACAGCAATGTTTGGCAGTCTTTCAGTTTCAGCAAATGTGATGTAGTAGTAGTAATAGTAATCCATTCTTTATTCTCGATATGCTTGTTCAGTCATATGGCCGCTTTTCCACAAGGTCGAGAAAAGAAGGTGAAGAGAAAAGCGTTCCACAAAAAAGCAAACAACATACAAACAAACAAACCTCTTCCCATCCGAGCCCATCAACATGATCTTCTTGGGTTTAGTCTTGGTAGGCAGGATGGTGACGGTGTTACAGAAGCCTGAGATGGTGACGTCCTGCTGCGAGGTGGACAGGCTGCTCCCCGGCAGGGCGATCACTGTGTCCGCCATCTCTGCCAGTTTGGGGCTGATCTCGTCCAGCTTCAGCACGCTAGTGGAGCGCTTCTGTGCCCTCTGCTGGAGTACGTGGTGCAGCTGGAACAGATGTCATCAGAGTAAGTTACATATACATACAGATACAGTTGACAGTTCCTCTTGCCAGGAGCCATATGAAGCAAACACATACTCAGCTCGTGCAACAACATAGTGCATTGTTTCTGATACCACACATAACAGAATTACTCCCAGTAACCCCAGTGCACACATGCGCCAGTACACATTGGTGGGAGATATAACTTTTTATACACACACACACACACACATATATATATATATGTGTTGTATAAATTGTACAATTACAGTGGTGTGGAATGGCTGAGTGGGTTGTGGCGTAGACATGAGATCAAGAGGTCACAGTTTCCATTCCTAGGATTTCTGACTAGACGTTGTATCCTTGGGAAAGGCACTTAACATGACTTTTCTGACTCCACCCAGGTGTAAAAAGGGTACCTGACTTAGGCTGGTAATGGTGGTGAAAGGAGAGGGATGGGCTGTGCCTTCCAATACAGTGCACCGGTGCAGTTATGCAGAAAATAGTATTTTTATCCTTGGTATCCAAAGAGAAGAAGAACCCCCACCTGTTTAAACATGACCCATGAGTTCTGGGGGGTGCTGGGGTTGGGGGGGTTCTTCAGCTTGTTGAGGGCCTCCTCGATGTGCTTCTCGTAGGTGTCCTGGAACCAGCGCTCGTGGGGGGTCTCCCCAGGCTGGTCCGTGATGGCCTTCAGGTGCTCCATGGCAAACACAGTCTGAAACAAACAAACAAACAATGGTTTACAAGTGGACTGCTGAAGGACATAATAATGCAGACCTTAGCAAACAATTGCAGCATGAAAAAGACTGTAAAAGTACATTCTCATTCCATATCATATAATTCATAATTACATAGTCTTTTTAAGGTAGATTAGTCTCATAGTATGCTTGTTATAGAGTAATAAATGACATATACAGATATCATGCAATCAAGTTTTTGAAAATCAATGTAATTAGGGTCCAATTGATCAATATTCATCATTGTTGTCAATTCGTTTTATGGTCATTCATGTGTATAAATTCCTTTTTTCGTGCCATGCTTATCCTTTGTTTTGTAATAAAGAATGAATTTGAAATGTTGACATAGACTGACAGGTTTAAGGATGGCGTTGTGTTTCTCCAGGATGATGGCAGACTTCTCCTCGTGGCTCAGCGTGGCGTTACTCAGCACGCGCTTGACCTCGTCCTCCAGCTGGTGGATGCGGCGTGTGATGTCTCCGTGATGCTGGTTGAGCGCGCCGAACCACAGCTCCTCCCACAGCAGCGTGACTCTCCGCAGCTCCGACACCATCGTCTGTACCTGGGACACCATGGACGGGTTGTGCTTGGACAGGGTGTCCACTATGGCACTATGGGAAGAATGTATCACATTACATTCATTATGTTTACCAAAGGAAAACACATTTTTTCCTCTTCTCCAAACACAAAAGGTCAATGACCTGAACCAGTCTATCACCACGGTAACTAGTGTTGGGTTACATCATGTTGCAATTTTATCTGGTGCTGTAGCACTGCCTTGCAGTGTCAGAATACATTATGTAGCAATTTGCAGGACAGAGTTAGAGGGGCTGGTCACCATATACGTGTATATGAATCTGTTTAGTGAGAAGGAACAGAATGCTCGTTTCTTAGGCTAGTCATTGTGAAGCCATTATGCATTTGCTTTGCAAATGTTCTACAGTACAGATCTCGGGATAAGCATCAAGTCCCGCGGGAGATCCCGCGGGAGTTTGCGGGATATCACGCGGGAGTTTGCGGGATCTCCCGCGGGAGTTTGCGGGATCTCCTGCGGGAGTTTGCGGGATCTCCTGCGGGATTTATCGGGATATCCCGCGGTACGAAATCCTCTCCCGCAACCCCGATCTTCGGTGTGAGACTTTAGGTTTCCGAAGGGCCGGCGCCGCTGTTACTTGAAGTTGAACCGCGTTGACTACAGATTTTTACGCAGACTGACGATGCGTGCATGTTTTAGTATGTTTTCAATGCATGCAAATAACAGTAGAGCAAATAGAATTTTTAACCAAACATTTCTCTTTTTAATATCGAAAATCTGGTGGCTTAATAAGATATAGAACGATAACAAAGTAATACAACCTTCTTGAACAAGTTTTGTGTCCGGCCTTGCGACGTGGACGGCTTTATTTTGATGTCACCCGACCCGCGCTATTTCAGATATAATTTTTTAAAAATCTAACGCATCGACGTGCCAAATCGCCACTCGAGTTCTTTATTTTTCTCCTAGATAGGGGAGGTTGACGTATGGAGTTACGGAAGAGAGATTAAACATCGTGTAAAAACAAGGGGCGAAGCATAATTCAAGGGTTCTTTACGCCTCAAACTTTGATACATTTCGTGCGCCACGCAGTGTTCAGGGCCTGCATGGGGGTTAGTGATTACGAATTACGCAAAATTTTCGCTATAAAGTTAAAGTTTCAGAGCTGATTACGACTTTACGCTTTTGCGGCTAATGTACTGATTACGAATTACGTTGATTTTAGGGAAGGTTGCCTACGGTTTACGAAGACAATGAATTAAAAAACGCCTGATTACGCCTTACGAAAAAGGGCATGCAGACCCCCAGTGTTGGGCCGGGCGTTCCCACGCCGCGTTGCCATAGAAACCGCATGTAGGCCGGCCGCGGCAGCGGCGCTGGCAGACTCCCCGGCGCCGCCTGACCACATGGCGTTCTGCCGCGCCAATCACAGCGCGCAGACGGGGACCCGCCCACCAGCTGGGCCGCGAATTCAAAGAGTTGAGTCAGATGCGCCGCCCCAAAGCTTTAAAGAAACACCGCCTGACGATTGTTATACGTACGTCGGATTGTAGCTTCTTTTTCCGCCCTGCACGGCCGGCATGCGGCATTGTAATTTTCTTATATCCCAATTTCATCCCAAAACAACGTTTTTCACATGTGAGGAGGCTAGTTCCACGGAGTGTACCGAGTGAATTTCAAGTTTTATGGTCTGAGAACGAATTAATTTGCGTCAAATTTTGCATAAACTACGTTTAGTTCGGTTCTCCCGTGTTTATTCATTTTTCGGGTTCTCCCGTGTCTTGGACGTGCGCTAAGTTTATAGCGTTGTTCTGTTAAAAATCGACTCCGTTTTCATCTAGTTGGCTGACCCCGTAGCTGACAGAAGTAGAATGTTTTCCTACCGAAAGAAACTTTGCCAGCCGCGTGGAAGTACTTGCTTTCAGGGTGATAGCAATCTATCGAAATTAATTATGGACATGGTCGTTGTTGATGTCAAGAGTTTTTGGGGAGGGGGGAGACGCACGCCCCGGGATTTTGATGGGCAAACTTTTAATTGTCGCAATTCTTAATACTAATACGGAGACCTCTTGACGCAAGCTACCCTTGAGAAGACAACAGCTACAAGATTATGAAACACAACCACAAACTACTGCCGGTACGCCTCATAATTTTTATTCTTGGTAACAATCTTGCCGAATTTACCGGAGACGGAGGGATTACTACACGTTACATTGTATTCATTCACGGTAGTTTCTTAAAGTTAAAGTTTG